ATTACAGTGTTATTAAACTTTAGACATTCAAATGTTTGTAAGCAACTGAAAAAAGCACAAATGTCAGGGCATGTCAAAACTTTTCCAGGCCCCAAAACACCCTCGGACCCCAGAGGGTTAATGGTCAGTGATCGAAGATTAGAGGCAAGATCAAGTTCCTCCATAAATGCCATCTCTTCCATAACATTACAACACCCTCTCAGGTATAGTGCGAAAGCTTGCAGTCCTTTTGGATCCTCTGGCTTAATGGATGGCCAAGACAGGGCCTTTTCTATATATGCATTAGAGATTTTAAACACATTACCAAAATGTTCTTTGAGGAGTTTTTTGGCTTGCTGATATCCCCTGACAGGATTCACGTGAAGGCAAGTTTTGATCAATTCTTTAGGCTGCCCTCTGGTAAACTGTTCTAAAAAACACAGCCTATCTTGATCATTGTCAATTTTACTCTCAATAGTGTCCTCAAAAGATCTAATGAATGCTCTAAACTCCAGCGGCTCTCCCTCAAAAACTTTGACTTCCTTCTGAGGCAAAGAGAACAAGAATGTCTGTTTCACAAGACTGTCCGTGATATCAGTTTGTTTACGTAAAATACTATACAAAGCAGTGTCTGCTGAAGGTGTTGGATTCCTTTGAGGTGTTGGCTGAGACCTTGAACTGGGTGCTTGGGTGGCTGGGTGCATGAGTCTGATATTGCACCGGGTAGTGTCGCACATCAGGTCTTGGTAGTTTAACAGCGCTGGATACTGGTTCAAGATGTTGCCGCTCCTCTCTAAAGGCAGTATGCGTCTCCGCCTGTGCAGATACAAGTGAACCTGCTTCCAAGTGACTGTCCTTGCTTTGGGATGTTTCAGAGGAGGTTTGCTTTCCTTTTGGTCTCGAAATGCGGAATGCGGCTCTTTAGGACTGACACCTTTAACTGAGTCACCTGGTACCATCAGAGATTTTTTCAACTCCAATGCATCTTGTTCTTTATCAATATATTCATTCATTGCATCTACTGAACTTACTGGTTTTTCTACTTCTTTCAAGACGTTAATTCTAGCAGTGGTAGCTGCCAAGTCAGATTCCATTTCCAATGTTTCTTTTTGTTGTCTTATTTGCTCCTTCTTCAGGTTTAGCTTCTGCTCCTTTTCCTCTAGTGCATGTTTCTCTTTTAATGCAGCATAACGGGCCTTTAGAGCAGCATGTTCCGCCTCTGCTTCAATCAGTGCTGACAAGTGTGAACCGTGTGAACTCCGAGAACTGTGCGAGCTCCGTGAACTGCGTGAGCTCCATGTAGACTCTTTTGACCTGAAAGATACTATGGAAACATTGTCAGCAGGAGCATCAACCTCAACATCAGCATCTTTTATAACTGCGGTACTAGACGACCAGGTAGTCACACATGACATAAAATCTTGAATTGCGTCCATTTTAGGTTGGAACCACTTCTCAAGATCCATTCTACGCTCTTCCTCACTTAAAAGATGTTGGATAGACTTATGAGCATCTTTAAATTCATCCAGTAATTTCCTGTATTTGACCATGCTTTGTCTGACTTCAACAACATTTAAATCATCTTCCAACAATCCTTTAACAATGTTCATTTGGCGTGTTAACAACGCCAATCTTATTTTCCTGTTCGCCCGCAACTGATATATTGTTTCCTCCATGTCTTTCAGAGAATCATCATGAGTTTCCTGACGCTCAAGAACTTCTGGCTCAATTGACTCTTCAGTCATATTTATCTAATCAATTAAAAGTTCTTTATTTTGCAAACTGATAGCAAGGTTGCGGGTTCAACACTGAAAATTCATGCATTTGCAAAGTCAATCTTGCGGCATACTCATGCTTAAACATCTTCTGACCTTTTCCTGTTTCCACAAACTTGTTTTCACAAAATGTTTTAAACTTTACATACCACCTTGCTTTGTCCGCGATCACCCGCTGGCTCCTTGTTGCGCTTAAATGATCCAAATCCAAGTGATTTCAAAGCGAGTCTTGGTTTGTACACGTCAGTTACTCCATGTTGCACTCAAATAATCCAAACGATTTCAAAGCCAGGTCTTTAGACTTATGTAGTGACCCTTACTTGCTTTAAAAGTTCACTTCTTGGGTCTGCCGGGGAAATTTTAGACACCTCTTTGTTTGCTCTTTTATCCATTAAAATCCAAGAAAATGAAGTAGATCACAGTTGATTTATTAATCTTGCATGTTACAAAAAATAAACTGATGCAACTTAACATTGAAAGTAAAATACAAAATAATTCAAGCTGCAAACTATAAGAGCACCAGAAAACATTGAAAGGGAGAAAGAAGGTCTAAAGAGCGTGTGCTCCCAGTAGACCACGCTATCTCATTAGACACCTGTGGCTTTATCTTATGGTTTGTCCTGTAGAGGGCGCACACAAACTCCAGAAAACATGCAAGTAAGAAGGAAAAACATAAAACAATATGACAAAACCTATAAATGGCTCCTACAATCACATTCGATTTTTTGCCCAGCCCTACCAAAAACACTTGGTCACGTTGAATTTGAGTTTTCATTGATTCCACACAGTTGGTGTGAGGTGACATTTGAATGTGAGAATGGGGATGTGGCTCGGAGCATAATTCATGTGAACATCCTCAGTGAGACAGAACGTCTGCATCGATAGCCACAGATTTTCCTCAAACAAATACCCTGATGATTATGTAATAACGGAGATGACTGGACTAATGGAAACCGAAGGACTAATAACCGTGTCCTAACCAGGCACGACGAGGCCAGATTCCAGCGCCAGGCAATTTGTCTGCTCAAACAAAACGTGAAAAATGGGCCATGACGCAAGATCAATCAATCACAAAACACAGCCAATTACAATAGTTTTCTCCATTTGGGTCTCTCACGCTCACAACGCACTGCAGCTCAAAAGAACGTCAAAGACAGCATGACTGGTTAAATGTCTGTAAAGTCACAGTTCCTATAAAACTGCAGCATGATTTCACAAGATAAATTGCAAACTTTTTCATGAGCATTCTAGTCACATACTCGTAGGACCCCCAATGATTTAGAGCAGGGACGTCAAACTTAGTTTCTGGAGGGCCATAGCCATGCAGAGCTTAGTTACAACTCCAATTAAACACACATGAACCAGCTAATCAAGGTCTCCAATTACCTGAAAACTGAAGGTAGGTGTGTTTCAGCTAAACTCAGCAGGACTGTGGCCCTCCAAGAACTGAGTTTGACACCCCTGATTTAGAGGAATTAAATTTATGAGGTACTAAAGTCAGCAGGTGTTTGTAAAATGATGTTCTGGTTTTACAGCTTAACATTAGGTAAGAATCACTCACACAAACTTGCGTCAGTATCACTGAGGCCTTGATGACACGTGACCATGATGACTGGGAGTTCATGTCATCGATCCAGGGGCTCATTTGGGTCCAGTATACATTTGCTCTCACAGACATAGACGTAGAACGTGCTCTTCAAAAACAACATGCAAAAATTAATCTGCAAATTTTTTCCACAAACAAAACATCAGGTTACCGCAGGTTGTTGTCATGCCTATTAAACCTGACCCACATAGAAAAGGACAGGTGTTCGGAATAGGTCTTGAGCAAATATTTTCCACATATTTGAGGTGAACAAAAACAGATTTTTTCATTTCTGTTTGATTCTTTCTGTACAATGGTGCTTTGAATACCACTTTTGCATGGCTGCATTTGATCAATATTTATTTAAAATATAAATATCAATGTCAAGACTTTTAATAATAACAATGACTGAAACAAGTAAATAATTGTTTCAATATTAAATTAAAAAAAAAATAGGACATTAATTTTACCGTACAACTTGCAAGTTCTTCATGAAATTCTGTCAACCATATAAAGCAAAGTGAGTGCATTTAGCACTAGTCTGGGCATCAGTGCAATACTGGGATTCAGCCATCATCAGACAATAGAGGACTTATGACAATAAAGTACCCGCAGCAACAAAAGGTGTTGCATTTTTAGTTTGAAATAACCTGAGGCTTGTCGACTGAGCCAAGTCTTTTAAACATGGACAGAAAACAGCGTTTCACTGCCTCAGGGAAACAACCTTTTCAACCAACCCACTGGGCAGAGATAACGTTGTGTGGGCTAGATCAGCAATACGATAACACGACCACTGAGTTAAATGAGATCAGCTATAGAGTTGAGCCAAGTTTTGAATACCTCTGTCCGGAGATAAAGTGAAAAAAAGATTGGGTTTAAGATTATTTATAGAATGCTGCAAGCCATTTCTCATCTTAGAATACAAATTGCAAAATACCTCTTGATAGAGCACTATTTTCACTGCGTTTTTACTATGAGCAATGTATCTGTAAAACAAATACATAAACACATTTATCATGTCAAGAGTGATTTTTAATGATCAGTCGAAGAACTCTGTTTTGCAGAGATATTATTTTCCACTGAATTTTGTGGATTTTAATAGCAAAAACATACATAAAATGTAAATGTTACAGTATACATTAATAATAATGAGTGTTTTGCACACATGGATTTTGTTTGGATTCCACCATGTTTTAGGCTTACGCATCAAACATTTCCATAACATCTCACTTGAGAATGAATTTGCCTGCTGAATACACAGTAATGTAATGTTGTTTTATTTATTTATCTATTTTTATTTTTTAAAGATAACTGATTAAGTAGAGAAGCTCTGGTAGATGTGTGGAGTTTTCACGCATGTTACACTTGTCATTGTTATTTACATCTCATTATTCTGCCAAACCTTTTTTAAAACTTCTTTACATCACAAAAGTTCAGTTTATTTTTTTTACCTAGAGCAGTGGTTCTCAACTCCCGTCCTTGGGACCCACTGCTCTGCACATTTTGTATGTCTCCCTTATTTAACACACCTGATTCAGAACATCAGCTCGTTATGAGAGCGATCCATGAACTGAACTGAGTGTCAGATAAGAGAAACATACAAAATGTGCAGAGCAGTTGAGGACCACTGACCTAGAGGATGGCATATGTTAAAAGCCGGGAAAAAGTCCCCCAAAGCACATGTTCTGAGACTCTAATGCAGGGTATTGGGGAAAAAGAAGGATGTAAACGGAGTACAGCCATGCAGCCAGTGAAAATACAGCAGACGTGAGACTTCAAGCTCTCCAGGCAATTTATGATTACGGATATGAGATCCAGTAGGCGTATTCATTCAGGCATAGCAACATGATTTGGGCAGCGACACAGTGGTTTTCAGAAGAAAATTCCTGTGAAAGTCACCTGATCTTCAATTGAGAGAACATGAAATGAGAGAGTCAGGATTGGCCATTAATTGTCCACTATTCACAATTTCATAACAACAAATTTTTGTCAGCCTAAATCTGTTTGGATGTTATTGAGAAGATCTTGGTTATGTCTTGCTCTTATATCAAATGAATACAGCCTCACATAACCTATCATTTCATTGCTCTCAATAGGCAGTCACCATGCTAGAAATGTACTGATTTAAGTGACAAATGTGGGCTTTTATTTCCTCTCTGTAACTAGGCAACAGCAGCTTATAGAGAGTTTTAAGTTGTGTTCTTGAAAGAGTCATTACTAACCAAAAACAAATGCAACCATTTAAGTAATTCAACAACATAAACCTCAAGGTCACTTCCTTCCTGTTTTGATGACGACCACAGACTGCAAGGCCTTTTCTGGTTAAAACAAAACCCACCAAATGTTCTGTAATAGATTTACAGATAGATTTATCATGAAAGCTATTCTTAAAGAAACAGAGAGCCTCACCTAGTGCCAGAAGAAATCAACAGGCTTGACCAGCTGACCAGGCTGCTTTCCTTAGCTGCCGTCCAGGGAACTCTTCACCTAAAAGCTTCAAGCTGGCGGTTATTAAGCCTCTTATTAAGAAACCACAACTAGATCCTAGTGAACTGGCAAATAGACAGTCAGGACTGCGGAGAGGATTACCGGTGCCCCTCTGCCCAGCCTCCAAGATCTTTATATCTCCAGAGTGAAGAAAAGGGCTAAAAAAATCACCTTGGACCCCTCACACCCAGCCCACTCAATCTTCGAACTGTTGCCTTCTGGTCGGCGCTACAGAGCACTGACCACCAGAACAGCCAGGCACAAGAACAGTTTTTTCCCACAGGGTATATTCAGTCTGAACAATTAATCTTTCATAATTATACATTGTCCATCACAACTAAAATAGTTATATTTATATTAAACTGCACACTTTGTAAATAACATACAGTATATCTGCACACTAATAAACATATCTGTATATTTATCTAAACAATTAGATTTTTTCTTATACTTCTATTTCTGTATATAGAGCCCTGACATTTTTTTTTATTATATTAGTGTTATATTACATCCCTACTGTCTTATTCCTATGTATGTCTGCCTGCACTATCATGTATATCTGCACTATGTTTGTACTTTCTTCTACACTGGAAGCTCCTGTCGTCAAGTCAAATTCCTTGTGTGTGTAAACATACTTGGTAATAAAGCTCTTCTGATTCTGATTCTGATTCTGATATTGGTGCGGGCAACTCTCATATCGGGACAGAAGAAAACATACCTTACTCGTCTGCAGCTTGGGCATCTACAAACCGTCGCACAATAATAAAAACAGATCTCGGGGTATTATCTTTCACAGGTAAGACTGAACAGTTGTTTCTGTATGACAATCTGTATTGTTAAAAGCGCTATATAAATAAAGGTGACTTGACTTAAAAAAAAAAAAGACAACAGACGAATTTTCATTAGCGAAGCCATTTGTTTTATGCAAGATATCTCAACTGGGGTCTGAATTATGGAAATGAGAGTGGAAAAAGACCAAACTATTTATTGAAAGAATGGGTTAATGTTGAAAAAAAAAAAAAAAGAAAAAAAAAAAAGAGGTTGGTGTCTTCTGGGTGGGTGCTCGTTTCTAAGCAACAGAAACCTTGACTCATCCCCTCATTGTTCTTATGTTGTTCAACAGCTACAAAAAATAAAACCTATGGCTCTGGCTGCTTTTGTATGTACATCTGCCATCAAACCTTCATCAGCCCTTTGATGTTCACTGAACCTGGCTCAATAAACACCTCAAACACATATGCTATGAAATACAATATATTATAGAATGAGTTCACTCAAAAAAATTTATTTGCTGAAAATGTACTCACCCTCAAGATGTAGATGATGTTTCTTCAACTTAAAAAGGGATAGTTCACCCCATAATGAAAATGATGTCATTATTTACTCACCCTCATGTCGTTCCAAACCTGTATTTGTTTTTTTCTTATGGTGAACAGAAAAGAAGATATTTTGAAGAATGCTGGTAATCAAACAGTTGATGGTCCCCATTGACTTCCATAGTATTTCTTTCCCAACAACTGCTTGGTTCTTCAGAATTCTTCAAAATACCTTCTTTTGTGTTCAACATAAGAACGAAACTTTGGAAAATGTTTCTTTTTGGGTGAACTATTCCTTTAACATATTTGAAGAAATTTAGCATTACATCACTTGCTCACCAATGGATCCTCTGCAGTGAATGGGTGCCGTCAGAATAAGTAGTTCAAATAGCTGATAAAAGCATCACAATAATCCACAAGTAGGCCAAATCCACACAACTTCAATCCATCATTTAACAACCAGTGAAGTGAAAAGCTGTGTTTGTAATAAAAACATCTTAATGATAGATTAGTTTAACTTCAAACTGTTGCTTCTGGCTAAAATATGAGTCCTCTATCCATAATATTGCTTTCTCAAGTGAAAAAATTGTCTTGTCTGAATCAGGAGAGAAATGTGCATAGATCAAGCATTGTTTACAAGTAAAAACAGTTCTAAACAAACATGTTGGTGGCTTTTAAGGTGAGAGGACAACAGGGGATGGACCGAGGGACGAATTATTATGGGTTATGGACTGGTATTTCGTCCAGAAGTTAGAGATTAAAGTTAAAAAGCCTTAATGATGGATTTATGTAAACACACAACTTTTACTTCACAAGATAATAATTGATGGGATGAAGTTGTGTGGATTACGGTGATACTTTTATCAGCTGTTTGAATTCTCATTCTGACGGCACCCAATTACTGCAGATGATCCACTGGTGAGCAAGTGATGATATTTCCCCAAATCCATTCCAATGAAAAAACTCATCTACATCATGGATGGCCTGAAGGTAAGTAATTTTTCAGCATATCTTTCCATTCATTAAGACTGATTTGACAATAAAATAGGAATACTGGTGCTGTCAGTTTTTGTGAGACCACACATTTACAGGTCATTGACCATAATCGGCATTGTCATGCATGCCGGTCTGTAAGGTGAAGCTTCATGTCTGCGAGGTTTCCACACCTACATAACATATTATGCATTATTCTAAGTGGCTCTTCTTCACACAAAGTGACAGCAGGATGGTCAGCCTGCTTGGATCCTGTATGCCAACTCTCTCTCTTTCATTGGCATGGGAACACACGGTTGCTATCTCTTGGCTTGCATCAGTGGCTCTAATTTCCATCTGGTCTGCATTAGTGGGAAAATGAGGGAGGAGGCAGATCTGGGCTCCTCAACCGCAGTCATCAAAGTACACAGACCAAAGGACTTCATCTTTTTTAGGAACTGTAATAGGCATGGATGAACTCTTCAAACACCGGTAGAAAAAACACACATGCATTAAATCGAACAATTTCAAAATGAAGCATTCATGCTATTCCTATTCAGTATGACAACATGCCTATTTCAAGAAGACTTCTTGAATGAACATAACAGGTTTCACATACAGTACCTCTAAGGCTGATGATACACGCGGCAACTTTTTGAGCAATGTTGCCGGGCAACTTTGGTTAATGTTGCAGTCAGCGGGCAACCAGGTGAGACACAGGGCGCACGACCGATCTAAAATATCCAGAAAGAAATGTGTTACCCATTTTCAGTGGGAAAGTGCCCCAGAAATATTTCTCAAAAAAAGTTGCCAGTCAAAATTGCTCAAAAAGTTGCCCTGTGTCTGATCAGAAGGTTTTTCATAATCAAAACTGCTTTTAAGCAGCATCCTTGGCAATCTCAAACAAAGACAAAAACATTGGCTCTTTCGGTTCATGACACTTGAGAGATATTTAAAGATGCTTAAAAGCCATTTCAGTGTCAAAACCTCACACGCTCTGAAGGATGCCATTGTAAAGCATGAATGACATCCATCTGAGATCTATCCTCAATGATAACACTGGAGAAATTTCAAGACACAATCAAGAGAAACATCACTAATAATGTATCAACATCTACAACAGGCATTTAATAAGCAAACTTCAGCAGACCATTCAAGTGAAAAAGTTCACATGAGAAACTGTCATTTCAGAGTTCATGTGTGGCAGTAAATCTAACAATTCGTCAAAACGCTCATCTGACCATCTGTTCTTGTTAGTAGCTAACGGTAATACTTGACACAAATCTTTCTACAGGAGCCCTTCAAAATGTTTGTGTCAGGAGCTGGAAGAGCAGTTTAAATGAGTATAACGAGCTTAGTTTAGCGTTCAGAAGACCTACATTCACAAGCTGAGGTTTAAGGAGACTTCCTACTATCAAGCTAACAGGCTAAAACACACGTTATGTCAGCGTAAAAACAACGAATTGTGTTAAGAAACCACACGACGTTATCGGCTATTAACGCGAAGAAACTCAGTTGTTCGCCATCCTCTTTAGATGGTTTTACGTTGTTTATCACAGACAAGAAACAGTCATGAGCTGAACAACAAAACAAACACAGAGCTCAAAGAAAGAACGACGACAAACAGCAGCAAACTTGAAGAAAAGTTTAGGAAAACAAGAAAACTATACTCACAGTAACACACTTTCTGCAGACGACTGGAGGAAGCCAAGAAACAAAACCAGCTGTAGGGTCCTATGCAGCGGCAGAGAACAAAACGAGAACTGTGGAGAAATTAAACCGAGAACGGTCTCTCTCTCACTGCCCTCGCGCAGTTTGGGGAATGTGGCACGAGACATGTCGGATGACGTCATCTGCGCGGCACGCCTTCCTCTTGGCTGCAGCTCAGAGAGGAGTATCAAGCCTGTGGATATGATTCTTAATCAGTATTTATACGCATTTATTTTTGTTGTATATTTCAGAGAATATGGCTGCATCTTCGCGGATGTATTGTTTTCAAATGCGTTTTTAGATTTCTATAACAAGTCTTAATATTAGTTGTTATTACTTCCAAGTGTTGGAATTTACTTATAGGGTAGTATCTAATACAACAACAAAAATGAAATATGCAGTTTATAAGAAGACGCCGTTTGATTTCACGTTTGATGCATACGTTGTATTTAAAATATATACATTCTACTCAACAGCAAGAGTCAAACGTGAAACGTTGAGAAATATTATGAAATCTATGAATTTACTGACATCTAGTGGTGTTACAGTAACAACAAAGAACAGCACCTCCATGTAGTATTTATATCATAACGAGTAAAAATATAATCGAAAGGCAAATTTTAATTTTTTACTCATAATGGTATTTAGATTATAATACAAAATATAGGATACAAAAGATATTAAATGAAAAACGACAGAAAAACTAGAAAGGTCCTCCTCCTTTTGATGTTTCTCGCATGCGCGCTAGAATGGAAAGCGGGGATGGCAATATTTTGATTGAATAACGTCTTAAAGTTCGGTTTGTTTTGCACAAAAAGCAATCAAATGACTTAAAAAAATTGGAATATCGCACACGAATCATATGGAGTATTGTTATGTAGTATGGTAGAGTTGAACTGTTTACCTTCCTCTCATCAGCCTGTTGAGTTTGACTGACTAAAAAAAAGTCACATGGGTTTGGTGACAGGACTTTACTTTTCAGTTATTCCTTTCATTTTGCTCTTGGAAAGCAGTATCACTTTTTATTTGTTCATTTATTTGGGGATATTGTAGGAGCCATCATTTTAACGTTCTGTTGTGTAGCCTATCCCTTACCAAAAAGTAGTATACTTCAAGTTTATTTTAGTAAGTATACTTAAGTAAAGTTCAAGTATATTTTTAAGTATACTTTATGTAGTAAGTATACAAATTTCAGTGTACTAGTAGTATACTTGTAAGTGTACTATTTCAATACTCCTTGGGACTAAATTGGCCCACTTTTTAGTATATAAAAGTATACTTTTAAGTATACTTTAAGTATAACAGTAGTAAACTTTGAGTACACAACTAGTTTACATCAAAATGTTTAGTTTGTACTGCAACTATACTAAAAGTGAACTTATAGGAATACTAATGAATAGTTTACTAATGAAATACTTGTAGTTGCATTTTTAGTACACTTTGAAGTATATTCTTAGTAAACTACTAGTTTAGTAGTTTTATACTGCAAGTATACTCGTAAGTTTTCTTTAAGTGAACTTTACATCATACTTTAAGTATACTATTATGTCCCTATTTAGGGATTCATTTGTATATATTTTGTTACATGAATATCTGAACATACAAAACATCAAAAGAACAGGGTATCTGCTTGTAAACAAAAACATTTTATTCTAGCTTCATGCATTCTTTTTTTAAACACTTGAATGTGGATAAGTTTCATAAATAAAAAATAAAAAAAGAAACAACATTTTGAACAAAAAGCTGAAAAAAGACTATGAATTGGATTCAGAATGATAATCAAAACGTAGATAGAGTCGATCAACACCCCAAAGCTTGACAGTTATTATTACCTCTTCATGGGTCGACATGTTATTCCATAACGTTGCACAGTTTTGATGCTGTTTTATGTCTGATGATCGTGTTAGATTACATGTGGAAGCATCTGTTGTTTCGGTTTCTTCTTCACTTGTGTTTTTTTGGAAATTCTGTACAGAAGATGTGTACTAGCGCCCCCTACAGTATAACAATGAAAACACGGATTCTAGGAACACAAGTATAGCTCAAATATATTTAGACTTTTTCTAAGTATAAGTCAAGTATACTTAAATGTCATTTTAAGTATATTTCTGAGAAGTACATAAAAAATAGACTAAAAGTATACTTTCCTATTTTTAGTTTAAAAGAAGTATACTAATAGCACACTTGAATAAACTTCTTTTTCGTAAGGGTATACTTTAGCAACACAGAAAGTTTGCATTACATTGCAAACAATTGCATTGCAATCACTAAAATGATTTAAAGGAAAATATATATTTCTAGAAAAAAAGCTAAAAGAAATTCTAGATTTCTTGTAAAAGCACTTTTATTATAAACTTTTGATCAATTATAGAACTGCTAATAGTGTTGGCTCCTGCCTTTAGAGTAAGTGTCTATACATACATTAGCTTGCAAAAATAAACAGACCCTCAAAAAATAATCAGAAAAAAGTGCCCCATAAGGTTGTGTTCCAACATTTACCTCACTATAACAATAAGCTGTATTGACCATACAAATCTTAATTACATTGCTTAAAAGATGGGCGTTTTATTTAATTTTATTTTTCTCCACAAATTTCTGCAATTCAGCCTGAACCACTTAACGCTACACTAGATTCCACGGATGTTTATTTAGATTTACAACTTTGGTTATTTATATACTCTATTACTAAGTTGCTGTCTTGCAAGCCCTGGGATGTCATTCATGAAATGTATTTAGTTAGTTATATAGTACTCTTTCTGTAGTCAGAAAAAGGTACAAAGCTGTCACTGGCACTGTACCCTAAGGTACAAAAGCGGAAAGGTACATCGTTGTACCTTTTTGAATGGTACAGTAACTTAGTAACTTAAAAGTACATATATTATTGCTATATAGTACCAGGGACTATAATAGGCACTATACTATAATAGGTTTTGTACTTTTTTTCTGACAGTGTAGTTGTAGTTTTTCAAAATATTGTTTTTGTTAATTTTGGCATGGAAGGTACATCCCAAACTTTCACAGTGTTGTGAAATGCCTCAAGGTGCTAGAAATGTGTTGTCCTCTTTATAACATTAGATGGCGCTATAACTCTAATCTAACAGTTGAAATCTGCAGCAGTCTGTGCTTGTTCTGTGTTTTTCTATGTGCAATTAACCAGAATGGGAAATATGTCATTTTAAACCCTTGTGCCACATCACATTCCTTTTTTCTTTTTACCGACTATGGATTTGGACAATATGAATGATAAGTAGATAACAGTGGCAAGAGAAGATAAATAACACTTTCTACAACCTACCACACAGATCTGAAATGCATGTGGACTTCAGGGTAATACACTCTTAGATTTGCCTTTTGAAGATGGGCTTGTTTAAATTATACAAAAAACTTACATTAGAGATTGATTAACCTTAACAAACAAATGCTTCATGAGTTATTTTTATAAACACACACACACACACACACACACACACACACACACACCGCTCTCGTGCCACGTAGAAATGACATGCAGAGACATGAGACACATATTGGCAGTGACACTGGTGATAATGGATGAACACACAGAAGCACACATTATCGTTGTTGTATATGATCCCACCTCCTATTTCTGCATGGCTGCCAGGCCCGAGGCTGATGCCAGGCGCTGATAGCTGGCAGACTGTCAGTAATTTGTGTTAATTGTGGGAAGTTTCCATTGCTGGCGACCAGTCAGCTGGCACCACTACAGCCTGGTTTCCATGTGGCCCAGGAGCTCATTCATGCTTTCTGCCTGTCTGCTTTCACTGCTGATCAATGATCAGTGTCTGTCACTAAAATATCTTGCTCTTACATTGTTAGGGCGTTAAAAACAATGCTTAAAACAGTCGCAGATCAACAGCTGAGAAGCTTATTGTCACAGTTTATCTAGATTCCAGATTAATTACTGAAGAAGCAATCTGCTCATCTTAAAATCATCTGAATTTATCCGTGCAAGTCTTTAATATATTTTCAACTTTCACCATGTAATCAAAAGCTAATATTATTTAAGATATTAGAATAATTGTATTTCAGATGCTGTGAAAAATAAACACAATGTAGGTAACCCTTATGCAAGGAAAATATATCTCCTTATATTTTAACAATTAATATACTGAATTATTTAATGTATGTTGAAAATATACAGCATAATATATTGTGTTAATATTATATTGAATAATACAAATGATTGCCGTATATTGTTACTTTATATATCATAATGTATGCGATTTTATATTAAATAATACTCTTCATAATATGTAGATATAGGGTACTGTGTCTATATATATACGTATATATATATATATATATGTATCAAATTATCAATATATTACCATACATGGTCCATGCATATATTGTGCATATATTGCAGTAAATTGAAAAATATAAGCAGTATTTTCACATATATGGAAATGTACTAATTAAAATATTGCATAATATTTGCAGTATATTCCTAGTATGTTTCATAAGGGGAATATAGGTGATACTATTAAATAAGGGGGAAAAAAATAATGAAATTTCAAAGGAAAAATATTAGTAAAGGTTGTATTAATGAAATATAAGCTCATTAATTTCTCTTACAAGCTATTCATCTTTTACCGGTAGGTATTTATAATTTTTTAACTAACCACAATTAAGTAATTACACTAATTAAGCTAATTAAGACCAATAATGAAGAGCTGAGAGTCACATGAACATTTTTTTCACTCGTTTCAGACTAAGCACACAGCAGACTCATCATATTGATGCCCAGACAGAAATGCACTGTTGGCTCTGGAACAAAAGAAGTAGATTGTAAGTAGTAAATTTTATCAGCAATATCAGAGAAGGGACAATTGCACAAATGATGGGCACTGTGGAAATCTCTACAAACAATAAGAGGAGAATGCATATAAATGAATTCTAGAAAAAAGTGTTGTAATTATTGAAGTTGTATTGTGGCACGTGAAATTGCTAATTATGTCAACAATGTTGCCATAAAATTGTTATCTAGGCAAAAGATTTGCGCTTGCATCTTAACCATTCAGTGCTTTCCTTTTTTCGCCCGTTTTTCAATGAATTAATTAGGCGATCACTGTAATTACTGTTTATATTGTTGTTAATGAGCCCAAAGGCAAGCGAGCAGTACTCATCCAAATTACACTCACTAG